AAAAGTGTCCCAATTTCCCCAAATTCACAATCGACCTGAATTTTCCCAAATTCACCCTATTCATACTTTAATTTTTATTTCTTTATTTATTGGATAGGTACACTATCAAAAATGCTGTAAATCAAATGTAAATTAAAAAAAGATTACTTAAGTATGATACTAAGAAAATACTATTTCAGTCTTTCTACTTCAAAATTTCAAACTTTGTATGTTACTTGCCATTTCTTTGAAATGATTTGTTAAAATCGACTAATTATTACTATTTACTAATTAATTATATAAAAAGCAAATCCTACAGTAAATGGTTTTCAGTGTACATTTATTCATTCAATGGTTTCTTCTGCTGAAAACAAATATTGACCAATATTAAATGTAGAAGAACACACTGTAAGCTAGTGACCCCCAAAATGAATCTGATCACTTAATTCAGAGTTAAATGCACGGCTGTCATTGCATTAAATTCAGCACATCTAAGCAAGTGTCATCTCAAATGCTGCATGATCTTCAGATCATCATCAGCTTTAATGTCTTTTAACCAGCAGCTGTTAAAGTTATTTTTATTGGATATACAAAGTCAGTTCTCCTCAAGTTCACACTGAGTTCCTAGCAGTATAATCGCAGGTGTAGAGAATCACAGAATCTATCAACATGATCCACATTGCACAACCACAAAGTGTCACAATATAACATATTAACCGATATATCTATTGTTATTTTAAAAAAATCATAATTGTCGACTATTCCTTTGAAATTGTAATTGCGATTATTAATTTATGATTAAATGAATGATGTTTACACCTTTGTTTGAAGCAACTGCATGCCATATTTTTATATGAAAATAAACAAGCTGAAAACACTAACTGAAAAACTTGTATTGCTTTTCTATAGTATTAAGCCTCAAATGTCAACTACAGTCATGGTCAGAATTATTGGCACCCTTGGTAAATATGCACAAAAGCGGCTGTGAAAATAAATCTGCATTGTTAATCATTTTGATTTTTTTATTTAAAAATTCACAAATATCTAACATTTCATTGAACTAAAACAATTGAAAATGGGGGAAAATTTCATTATGAAATAAATGTTTTTCTCAAATACACGTTGGACAATTATTGGCACCCCTAGAAATTCTTATGAGTAAAATATCTGTGAAGTATATTCCCATTCATATTTACAATTTTGAGCACACCAGGGTGATTATGAACATGAAATTATCCAGCCATGGCTTGTGGAATATAAATAGGAGGGAAAACAAAGGCCAAATTCCCTTAATCATCCATCACAATGAGAAAAAACTAAAAATATATTTCTGATGTGCAGCAAAAGATAATGGAGCTTCACAAATTAGTGAAGTGACTTTAAGAAAAGAGCTAGAGCAGTGAAAATCCCCATTTCCACCATCAGGGCAATAATTATGAATTTCCAATCAACAGAAAATGTTACAAATCTTCCTGGAATAGGATGTGTGTCTATATCGTCCTAATGCACGCTGAGGAGGAGAGTTTGAGTGGATAAAGATTCTCCAAGGACCACAGCTGGAGAACTGCAGAGATTAGAAAATGTCAAACAGCACCTACACCACATGTTGTTTGGGAGGGTTTCAAGAAAAAAAAAATCAAGAAAAGAAAATGCTCTCATCCAAAAACAATCCCCAGCATATTCAGTTGTCAGACACGACTGGAACTTCAAATGGGACTGGCTTCTATGGTCAGATGTAACTAAATAATTCACTCAAGATGGGTTTGGTGCACACAGGGATAAAAAGTACCCCATGTGTACAATGAAATATACTGCTGTATTTTTTATGTTGTGGGCCTATACTTCTGCTGGAGGTCCTGTACATCTTGTTTAGACACATGGCATCTTTGATTCTATCAAATACCAACAGCTAAAAAAATCAAAATGTGACTGACTCTGTTAGAAATCTTATAATGGGCCATGTTTGGATCTTCCAACCGGACAATAATCCAAAAACAAACCTTAAAAACAACACAAAAATGGGTCACTGAGCACAAAGCCAAGCTTCTGCTCTGGCCATCCCAGTCCTCTGAGCTGAACCCTAGAGAAGATGAGTGTGCTGAACTGAAGAGGAGAAGCTGGGTATCTGAAGGGTCTGGAGAGACTCTGGATGAAGGAATGGTCTCTAATCTCTTGTCAGGTGCTCTCTAACCTCATCAGGCATTATAGGACAAAACTCAGAGCTGTTATCATGCCAAATGGAAAGCTGAAAGCATTTCCACCCATGTCACAGCAATGGCACAGGGAATAAAGTAATGGAATGCTTTTAGGGGGAAAAGGAAAAACTAATTATGATAAAGGCCTTTTAGTTGTTGCTTTATCACAACGCACTGAATTTTTCTATTGAAAATCGTCACTGAGAGTGATAAACCTCTCTGGCATGCAGTCAAGTGCTTTGTCAATGTCACACCCCTCCTTTCTCTCTACCCTGTCTGTTCTTTTCACCCAGTTAAAAATGGATAACATGTGACATAATGATGTGTCTCCTAACTGCTTGCTGTGTCCCATTCCACCCTAGAGTGCGCAAATCTCCATTAGCACATGAGCCGTGCCTCCCCGTAGCAAATCTCCCAGTATCGATGCAAAAATGCGCATCTTTAGAGTTTGACCATATAAGAGACAGTGTAATCTAAAAATGTGCACACTACACAAATATTCTCAATACCCTCTTCATGTGTTACACGTGGACATCTTTTGACAAGCAAACACTTTCCAGTGCACTATTTGACAAGATTCCAGTATCTAATGTGTGAGCAAAGAGCGCCCTCCACTGTGGATAATGCATTACTGAAGTTATTCCAGATATAATTTGATCTAACCCATTTTGCACTGCTCAATTACTGTGATCACTACCCTACTGCTTACAGCAGTACATACTGTAAGTATGTGTACAGTATACTTTATCTTAGAATACTCACTCAACACAGAAAAATCAGTTGTAAGCTGGATGATTTCAACAATGGTGAAACATACGAATAACCATGAATTCAATCAATGGAAATTCATTGATATATAAATGTTTTATATTATAATTATTAATATTATATATTAATAATAATTATCGTTATTTAAACACATTGCTAAATGCAAAATATGATTTAAACGGACCAGAAACATTATGATCTGGCTTTGATGTAATTGTGAAAAGTTAAATATATTAAATAGAATTCACAAAACAAATTCACACATGATATTTGTGACCCTGAACCACAAAACCAGTCATAAGAGGCAATTTTTTTAAATTGAGATTTATATATGATCTGAAAGCTGAATAAATAGGCTTTCCATCAGGGGCGATTCTAAGATTTTCGTTTTAGGGGGGCTCAGCCCCCAATGAGGGTATAATAATACAAAATAATAGTAAACATATAAATACAATTTAAAAATGATTGACTAATAGGGTAAGGTGGTAAACTAAACTTATTGCATTTTGCAACTTATTGTATTCCACTGTACTGCATAGATAGGTGTAACATTTTAGTACTGAATAAGCCATACAAGTCTTCCTGAATCCTGATCTCTCTCTTTCTCTCTCTCTCTCACACACACGTTTACTTAGCTATCTAAATGGGGACATTCCATAGGCGTAATGGTTTTTATACTGTATAAACTGTATATTCTATCACCCTACACCTAACAGGAAACAATTTTTTAAAAACTTTGTTTACTTTATTTTTATACCAGTTTTACAAATGAGGACATCCCTAAAGGGAGGTTTTTGGAGATTTTGTCATGTTTAGCTCACTTTTGGTTACAAATTTGTCCCCAAAATATGGTTAAGTACTTACACACACACACACACACACACACACACACACACACACACACACACACACACACACCTGTTTACTGTACAAACAAAATGTTACTGTTACTGCATTTCTAGTACAACCCTCTTTCTTTAGCTCAAGTATGCTAAACTATTTGCCATATGCACTGTAATTAATATGTTTTATATTAAAAAGTAACATTTTCAAATAAAAATGGCAACATGACCGTTATATATATAGTATGTGTTTATATAGCCTAAGGGCTTCCTTTTTGCTGGAGAAAACAGCTGTGGTGTGATGAGGGGTGAACGCAGAGAAAACATATTATAACAATCTATCGATAAACACACACCTTGTCCTCTGTTTCTCGCTCTGCGCCGCTGCGGTCTGCGGATTGAAGAACGCGCTGAAAGACAGGGAAGAGCCGAAGTCTGCCGCCGTTTTCATATGAAATTTAAAGGGGACTGAGGCAATAACGAATTTGTGTACAGGAGCTAATTGCAAAATTTTTAGGGGGGCTGAGTATTCGTTTTAGGGGGGCTATAGCACCCTAAAAATGGCCTAGCAACGCCCATGCTTTCCATTGATGTATCATGTGTCACAGTTAGGATAGGACAATATTTGGCCGAGATACAACTATTTGAAAATCTGGAATCTGAGGATGCAAAAAAATACTCAAAATACTGAGAAAATCTCCTTTAAAGTTGTCCAAATTAAGTTCTTAGCAATGCATATTACTAATCAAAAATTAAGTTTTGATATATTTACGGTAGGAAATTTACAAAATATCTTCATGGAACATGATCCTTTCTTAATATCCTAATGATTTTTTGGCATAAAAGAAATATCTATAATTTTGACCCATACAATGTATTTTTGGCTATTGCTACAAATATACCCCAGTGACTTAAGACAGCTTTTGTGCTCCAGGGTTACTTTTGGCATTGTAAAATCCTTTTAAAATGGATGAACAATAAACTGTGTGGAACAGCCATGCAGCACGTCAAAAATAAAAACAGCTGTCAGTCAACTCAAGGCACATTGTCACTTTCACCACACAACAGATGCTTCAAATATAGGAAGCACTCAACTAAAATAGAAACGACAGGATGTGAGAGTGTAGTACTCTTATTGCTGTTTAATGCACTTTACCCTCAAAATCAGAGCAACAAAAGTGTAGGCCTATATCGGTTTTAAAAAAATCAAACTCACCACCCTTCTTTCTCTGTTTTTGTAGTCTATATGAAGAAACTCGTGATTTCTCAAGGCATACTCCAGTGATTTCTTTAACTCAGTGGCTCTCCTCATCAGTTCTTCCTCAACACCCACCTTCGTAAAGACCTGACACATTCAAAATCACACATTAACTTTATTCAAATAAACATAACATTCAGATGTATGAAAGACACATCCAATGAATGCATATATGCCACAATTTGAACCCACATTAAATACAGATATGTTTCTTACACAAACACATCGATTCACTTCAGAAGGACTTTATTAACCAGCCATGTGGAGTACTTTTTATGATACACTTTATTTTGCGTCAAAATCTCCACACCCATTCAGTCGAGGGCTTAAGGGTGAGTAAATCATGGGGAAATTTTCAGTTTTGGGTGAACTATCCCTTTAATTTTTTTAATTAAATGTTATTAAATAAAAATTAAAAAAAAGAAGTTTTGTGAAAAAGAGCAGCTTGGACATTTTGCTAAACATATCCTTTTGAATAATTAATGACAGGTTTCTCATTTGGGAATGAATGAGTCCTTTCAGAGGTCAAAGGGTTTACCTGGATCCAGGACTGCACCAGAGGCAGGTGTCTGGTTGTGATGAGTCTATGGAGATCCCTCACAGTGTTTACTAATGCCTCATTCTCTTCCGTCTCCCTCAATTTTAAATCTGCAGACATGATTCAAATGGTTATTTACAAAAAAATATTGATTTGAACTCCAAATTCCATGCCATGCTATGCTATGACATGACATGACAGAGGACACATATCATGAGAATAGCTGTGAACACGATCAGTCAGATACACCTGTAGACACATTGAGCTCCAACTGATATCTAGAAGACATTAAACCAGTGCTGCGGAGAAACGTGTCCTCATCAGGAACTTCCTCTGTGTCACTCTCGTCACTAGACTTGTCTGTTAGCCCTTCATCATTTGTCTTCTCGGTCATCTTTCCGTTCTGCTCATTGCTTAGGTCTTTACTGCAGCAGGGTTGGTCAGATATGTTCTCGGCTCCCACAGAGGTTTTAGCAACTGCTGCTTCCTCATTAAACAGGTTTAAGTCATCGGTTGCAAGCAGTTTCATGCAGTTGTTCATCTCAGTCAAGGTTTCCTCAATCTCAGTCGTCGTTTCTTAATGAAAGAGATCAAAACAAGCATTTAAGCGTGGATAGAAATGGACGGGCACACTTTTTTTCTTATCTTTAACTATGGATAAATGGCACTTAATGACATTTTTAAACAACCAGACTTGAACAAGAACTTGTCACTCTTTTTTTAAACAAGATTGCTAAATGCTATTCGTGTTTTCTAGATATTTACAAGTTTTTTTTTTTTCAATCATCAATACAAAGAAATGAAATCTGAAATTTTCATTACAGGTTTTTATTACAAGGGCCTGCATTGTCAAATCTAAAAACATGGTATGGAAAGTGGTACATGACACCAGGAAAAGAGTGATGACGAGATATCATCACCATAGATAATGTATTCCAATTGTTTCATGGTAACTGGATCTAAACATGGAACACTGTTTACCAGTTTCCATAAAAATACGCATTAAAATAATGCAACAGTTACTTACCTTTTTGAGCAGTTGTTTCAATTGTTAGATCAGTGTAATGACATCTCAGATGTAATGTGTGAATTTTGTTGTGAAATGGCAATACTTTGATGTTATGTTGTGTCATTTTTTAAAGAGGTGATTTTAATTCACTGAACAAATTAACTTATATTTATATGTATTGTATCCAAGCAATTGAAAAAAGAATTTTGAAAAATGTGCATTTTGATCACCGAGTTCTGTCAAGTGTTTTGAAAAATGACATCAATGTTCTGATATTAGCGCCAAAGTGATTGTAAAAAAATTACAACTATACTATTTCACCCCCATCCTGTAAATGTATTGCCACCTTTTACTTTCCCCAAGTCTAAAAGAATACTCTAGCAAGTCATTAATCACTTTTGACAAGGCTTTTGTAGTCAAGATGTTATGAATTAAAATGAAATTTTAGTAAATATTTAGGCTGTTGATTTTTGTTTTTTTTACAGTGTTATATCTAAGATGACCTATTCCAGGATATTGTTCATTTAATTTACAGTATGTCCTGGGAGCTGTCCCTCAGTGTTTAACCAGCATATAAAGTATTTGCTTAACACAGTTTCTCAGGAAATGTTGATTCTTGGTGAAGCTGTGATATCTTAAACATGATGTAAAAAACTGAAAATACTTCATACATACCCTTACAGCAATAAAGGAATTTCACATTTACGCATGCTTTACATCAACATTGTTTAAATATTTAATATTTTTGCATTTTAACGGCAGCAATTTATAATTAGTTCCACCCGGTGATTTCTACATACAAATGACTGGATTGCTGAAGGGTTTGTAAAATCAGCAGTTGTAGCCACATTGCGTATGCAAACAGGGCGTCAATGACTAAAAGAGGATATCTTGAAGGTATCAGTCAGACAAGATAAGTTTTCAGGACATAATGTCTGTGAAGTACTGATTACTGTGGACGTCAGTAGTGATTATTGACAATTTGCACAGGATAAGCTATTCAGATATCGCCGAGATAGACATGTCTACTGTATACTCCATTATATCTAGGATTATTAGCTGAAAGTGGTTTAATTCCAAAAAGTGGTATAACAGACACTATAATACGAGCCTGTAATAATAAACTGCAGATGATGTGTTTCTAGAATGAACACATTGGTATTTATAATATGTGGTATTTATAATATATGTACTGTTGGTGCCTTGTACATCAGCTGAACTGATGTTCGATACTATAATTAAGAAGAAGCATAGAAAACTATCATTAAAGATGAACATAGCTCACTCCCACTTTCAATAAGCAGTCATTCCAAGAATAAAATACTGTGTAGAAATTCTGCTGTATACTGTAGGCTGACTTCAGATATAAAAACAGAGATTGGATGGGTAATGTTTACTCACTGAAATCAGCAGAATGTGTGGAAATAGAAACACGGCAACGCAGTTGTGTCAATGTTTTGATGTCACTAGCAACTGAGTTCTTTATTGTAGATTAGTAGTTCCACTTTAAGGAATTTTTGTTGATTATTCAGTAAAACATTTCGGAAAACGAGCCAATAGTGCACTTGCACTCATATGGCTCCATGATTTTTATGTTCCTTTGCATTGTAAAGAGCGCTGTGGCATTATTGGCCTGTTTGCCACATTTCTAGCCCTTAACGTTTAGAGGTAAAGTGATATAATGGCAATAAAAATTACATTTATATAAAATAAAAATGTGTGTAAATATATCAAGGAATAATCAAATTACTTTATTTTAGCGTAGATCATTTCTAAAATGATTTTACTTTTATATTTTCATTTATTTTTGTTAATTAATTTTCATGTTCAAAAGATAACAAGTACTTATCTATAGATAGGTTTTTGTGTGTGTGTTTTTCAGTGGAGTTACAGTTTGTGGAAATAAAGGTGTTTACCCTCCATTTCCTGCTTGGCCTTTTCAAGCTTCTCTTTGTAAATTCTTTCCAATCTCTTCTGTTTCTCCTCTTGTCTTTTTCTCTCAGCCAGTGTTCTTGCTTCAACATCAAGAAAATCTACCTAAAAAAAAGACACAATGCATTTCTTGAAGGGATAATTTACACAGAAATTAATAATCTGTTTGTGGGTAACCAAACAGTTTCAGGTCCCCATTGACTTGCATTGACTATTTTTGTTCATACTATGGAGGTCAATAGAGACCAGCAACTATTTGGTTACCCTTATTCTTCAAAATATAATCTTTTTGTGTTCAGTAGATAAAGAAATGTATGCAGGTTTGGAACAACATGAGGGTGAGTAAAAGATGACAGAATTTTACATCTTTGAATGAACCATCCCTTTAGGGAGACATTTCACTATTATAATGATGAATTATAATAACATAAATAAAGCCACCCATAACATCAAGTGGATGAAAACCAAATGTAAATAATAAACTATTTGAACATAATATTGGAAAATAAAATGAAACACAATTACTAAATAGTAGGGTTAGGTTAGCGTTTTATAAACTGCTTGATTCATTCACCTTTGATTAAACAGCTAAATTTAGGTAGAACACAATATCTTTTCCATAACAGTCTTTATATAATTACATAACAACAGTGACGTGTCCCAGGGTGCAGACTGATGGCATTAAATACCATAATCACAGAACAGGCACGTCCAGATAAATACCTTTTTAATCTGCTTTAGAAAGTGATATCCCAGAGACAGTTTCTTATACGCCTCTCCATACGTGGCGTGCCATGACTGCACAGTCTGAATGGCAAGTGTCCTTAGTTTTCTCGCCACCTCTTTGGGTGGAGGCAGCGGCTGCTCAGTGTCTGTTTCTACTGTGAGTTCCAGGAACTCCTGAAAGTTTGTGATGAGAAGATCTCTGAAGTGATACGACCGGCTGAAAATCTCACTGACCATTTGGAAGGCAGAGAGACGGATCTCTCCGTGCTCTTGGTTCAGCTGGGTCATAATCAAGTGGTAGAAATGATCAACGTAGTCAGTGGAAACTCTATGGTCAGAAAAGGAAGAAGAGTTCCAGCTTAACAAGGAGTGTAAGGTAATATGTCCAGTGCTGCTCTAAGGCCACAAAAACAAACACACAGGTACATTGAGCAATTTACGCTGACTTCGCAAATCACGAAATGGACTTTGATTAGGCACTGACAACACTGATAAATAAACACTGGGTCAGGCCAGTTTCCTCATTCTGTGACTAGATAATGAAATCATAAGCACGCTTTGGGCAGAGGTGGCAAGAGCTTTGGTGACCAATGATATTTAACTAACCAGTGTTTTATGAAACACTGCACTGTGATAATGGCATAGCTGTCTGAAATCAGTGAGCGTGATTTCACCAAGTACAACATGTTCCTGGATCAACATCCTTGTTGATCCTGGAACATCATTTTAATCAACCAATCAGAATTGAGGGATAACTTTTCAGGAAATGTCAGTTTTAGGCTTACAATCAAAATTAGGTGCTTCGTCCTCTGTTTTTAGGAATAAATTATGGGTAGGGTTAGGTTTAGGGGTAGGGATTGGGTTAAGTCTGTATTTTTGGACAGTAATGTTGATCCAGGAACATGTCTTACTTGGCAAAATCACAGCGACCATCTGAAATCAAAATTTACGGAATCCCTTTTTTTTTGCCTCACCATCTGCCAGCACAAACTAAAGATTGTTACTGGCTCAAGTTCTTGCTAAGTTCACGTTAAGGTAAAGTTCAATGGGCTCTAGGGTAAAGGCCTTTTACTAATACAGCGGCCGCAATGGGGACATCTTTGAATGAACCATCCCTTTAGGGAGACATTTCACTATTATAATGATGAATTATAATAACATAAATAAAGCCACCCATAACATCAAGTGGATGAAAACCAAATGTAAATAATAAACTATTTGAACATAATATTGGAAAATAAAATGAAACACAATTACTAAATAGTAGGGTTAGGTTAGCGTTTTATAAACTGCTTGATTCATTCACCTTTGATTAAACAGCTAAATTTAGGTAGAACACAATATCTTTTCCATAACAGTCTTTATATAATTACATAACAACAGTGACGTGTCCCAGGGTGCAGACTGATGGCATTAAATACCATAATCACAGAACAGGCACGTCCAGATAAATACCTTTTTAATCTGCTTTAGAAAGTGATATCCCAGAGACAGTTTCTTATACGCCTCTCCATACGTGGCGTGCCATGACTGCACAGTCTGAATGGCAAGTGTCCTTAGTTTTCTCGCCACCTCTTTGGGTGGAGGCAGCGGCTGCTCAGTGTCTGTTTCTACTGTGAGTTCCAGGAACTCCTGAAAGTTTGTGATGAGAAGATCTCTGAAGTGATACGACCGGCTGAAAATCTCACTGACCATTTGGAAGGCAGAGAGACGGATCTCTCCGTGCTCTTGGTTCAGCTGGGTCATAATCAAGTGGTAGAAATGATCAACGTAGTCAGTGGAAACTCTATGGTCAGAAAAGGAAGAAGAGTTCCAGCTTAACAAGGAGTGTAAGGTAATATGTCCAGTGCTGCTCTAAGGCCACAAAAACAAACACACAGGTACATTGAGCAATTTACGCTGACTTCGCAAATCACGAAATGGACTTTGATTAGGCACTGACAACACTGATAAATAAACACTGGGTCAGGCCAGTTTCCTCATTCTGTGACTAGATAATGAAATCATAAGCACGCTTTGGGCAGAGGTGGCAAGAGCTTTGGTGACCAATGATATTTAACTAACCAGTGTTTTATGAAACACTGCACTGTGATAATGGCATAGCTGTCTGAAATCAGTGAGCGTGATTTCACCAAGTACAACATGTTCCTGGATCAACATCCTTGTTGATCCTGGAACATCATTTTAATCAACCAATCAGAATTGAGGGATAACTTTTCAGGAAATGTCAGTTTTAGGCTTACAATCAAAATTAGGTGCTTCGTCCTCTGTTTTTAGGAATAAATTATGGGTAGGGTTAGGTTTAGGGGTAGGGATTGGGTTAAGTCTGTATTTTTGGACAGTAATGTTGATCCAGGAACATGTCTTACTTGGCAAAATCACAGCGACCATCTGAAATCAAAATTTACGGAATCCCTTTTTTTTTGCCTCACCATCTGCCAGCACAAACTAAAGATTGTTACTGGCTCAAGTTCTTGCTAAGTTCACGTTAAGGTAAAGTTCAATGGGCTCTAGGGTAAAGGCCTTTTACTAATACAGCGGCCGCAATGGGGCAAAAACACTCACTAAGCAAATAAAGATGTCCTTGAAGAGTGTTGTCCTGTTTCTATGAAATCTTTGCCAGAATGTCCTAATTTATTCACATGACTCACAGTTTGGTCCATGTATTTTTGAACCTACTAAACATACTTGCATATTTTCTTCACGTCCTTCATTTTGTCTTGATTTAACTGTGGTTCTCCAGAGGTAGTCAACTCCTCAACCAGTTGTGAGAGCTTATCACGCATTGTTTGGTCCATCTTTGACATTACCCTATAACAGAATGAAGACAGACAGAATGAAGGAATGGGCCAACACAACCACCACAGAAACAGTTACTCCTATATAACAGCCTATAACAGCCTTTACTCACAATTATTTTTGTTATGCAGCTGCTATTCAACACAGATATACAGACAGATTCATAAAGTCTACCAGTGACAGAGAGAGAGCGAACCAACTGTATCCGAAATCTTTAATGGATATAATGGATGTCACGTACCGCTTCCTCCACCTGCTGTAATGAAACTGGCTTTAATAACTACTGGTATTAGATCAAATGTATGTGTCCGTCTGGAAATGAAGTTCACTCATCTCAGTATTTTAGTGCGATTGAGCAGGGAATGTAAACAAAGACATACTGAGCAACCGTGAAGAGTCCATTTTCAAAATAAGAGTCGCTCTCTTTTGTACATTTTCACTGAAAACGGACTGAACTACAACCGAAACGTAATCGTTAATATAATTTAATACAAATTAGTTTAAGTGTAAGGTTGTACACCTGTGCCGTAAAACTTAATAAAAAGCCTATATAGACATAGTAAAAAAACTAATAAAATGACAACATGACTACAACTGTAACTAAAATAGATAACTAGTACAAAAGATTTAAAGATTTAGGAAATAAAGAACATCAAAGTCTGATGTTTTGGGGTGGGGGAAATACAACGTTATTTTTTAAATCCTTAATTTAAAATCCAAGCAACAAAAATTACATACCAGGCACTTCATATAACGTGGTGAGTTATTTATCTCTCTCTCTCTCTGACTGTGTGTGTGTGTGTGTGTGTGTGTGTGTTTCACTTTTATATGATTCTAAACAGCTTTGGCAAGAGGAGCTGTTATCCCTGGTGGCTCTAAAGAGGTGCGTTGAAGATTAAAACCTATTCTTGGTGCTTTATTTAACCACTACATGTATCTAATGTATTCTGTGTGCTTTTGTTGGCAGCCAAACTGCTCTGAGTACTTCCTGCCCGTCTGTACCCGGGAATATAACCCTGTGTGTGGTACTGATGGAGTCACATACTCCAACGAATGCATGCTGTGTTTGTTAAATATGTAAGTTAAATCAAGTTTTTAATGTTTATCTACCATTTTAATGTTCTTACTGGTGTCCTTTTGAAAAATTGTTTGACTGTCTTGTCATAGGGAGGAGAAAGTCAACACCTTAATCTCCAGGAAGGGCAAATGCTGAGACACATCCACTCATTTATGTTCTGTATATGTGACATGAACCTGGAACCACATGCTGTTTTTTACTGGTTTTTGTCTTAAGATAAAGTGTGTGGTGTGTGCCCTTTTAAAAACATTCTAATCCTTTAATAAAACCTTGATATAGAAATCACTGCTTTGTACTGTACTTTCTTTAATATAAACGGGCACTATTCATCACATGAGCTAAATCCAATAGTTTACCTTACTTGGATATAATTAGTTATCTTTACTTAGTTGTTATACTTACTCAGTTTTATTAAGTAACAGCTCATTTTAAGGCGAATAAAACAATTTATTTGCTGCAATGAGTAACTCTTACTTAAAATATTCATGTAGCCACAACAAAACCGGTGACATTAATACACCAGTGGGAGGCAGCAGTGCGCTAATGTGTTGCTAATGTGCAACAAAACAACAGAAGAAGAAGTACGGAAGGTTTGAGAGCATGCGCAACAAGCAACGGTGTTTTGAATTTGTGCGCCGAATTTGCTGAGACTGCTTGCATTTTTACCACTGGACAAAGACTGATTACTTCTATACAATAACAATAGGGTAAGTTTAAAAAAATAATTGTCAATCAATGTATCTTTTTGTGTGCTGCTAATTTTAACTGACTGACCAAAGATCTTTGCTATTCTGCTGTTAGAAAAAAGACTGTAGAAATACAGAACTTGTGGCGTATTTTGACGAATTTAAGACTTTTTGTTTTACTTTTCAATTTACTTTTCAAACTGAAAAATTTGTAGCTTTTGTGTGCTGCTAATTTTAACTGACTAACCTTGTCAGCAGTGTTAGCTAACAGATACCAAAGATCTTTGCTATTCTGCTGTTAGAAAAAAGACTGTAGAAATACAGAACTTGTGGCGTATTTTGACGAATTTAAAACTTTTTGTTTTACTTTTCAATTTACTTTTCAAACTGAAAAATTTGTAGCTAGTTAAAAACTGAAAAGTCAGAGGTACAATTCAAGAACTTGCCAAAAGTCCTCAAGATGAGCTCACAGTAGGTTTTAAAGTCAATCTTGATGTGCCACTGATAATTAATTGTTTACTGTAATCTTTTGCAGTGTTAACACTATAATTTAGTGTTAGAGGCTTTGGTCACTTAAGTTATTTTTACGTTAACCATGTTATTGTCAATATTTTTAATACACCACAATCATAGTCATCACGTGATCACACATTTCAGGTTTAAACTGAATGAGCTCTTTGTCTTGCAGTAATTATTGCTTTGCTGTGTTGAAACACTTACTACTGTAATACAGAGGAAATGCTGCTTTTCAATTGGTTTTATGACTGAGGCCTCAAGCAGATATGTATAGAAGTTTTCTTTCTTGTAAAGTATGCAAATATCAAGGAATGAATGTGTCTGTAATCTACAATTCACAACAATAGTGGAGCTTGCCTTTAACTGAATAATTATTTGTCATATTTAGGACAAGTGGTTGTGGCAGCTGTCTTCTCTGAACAGCAGTCTGGTGAACACCGTACTGTTTCGGCCTCAGTACACTGAAGGTAAGGCATTTAATTTTTAATCTCTTATAGAGCAGTTTTTGACTCAATCATGTGCTACACTTTATTTACAATATTAAATAATTTTTCAAATAATTTCTTGCGGATGAAGTATACATGTAACCACTGTATTTCTTTTATTTTTTTTCACAGATCTAAGAAAACAC